GGAAGACTGCAATCATGTCCCCTCTGAGCCTTCTCTTTCCCAGGCTAAACAGACCCAACTCTTTCAGCCTCTCCTCATAAGACTTGGATTCCAACCCTCTCACCATCCCGGTTTGTTAATGCATCCTAAGACTGCATTAGCTTTCTTCACAGCCACATCGCACTGCAGGCTCATGTTTAGCTTGTGATCAACCAGAACACCCAGATCCCAGGGTGCAGTTCTGGAGGCCTCACTTCAAAAAGGATGTGGGCAGAACGGAGCGGGTGCAGAGGAGAGCGACGAGGATGATCAAGGGCCTGGAGACCTAGCCCTGTGAGTGAGGAAAGGCTGAGGGACTTGGGAATGGTCAGTCTGCAGGAGAGGAAGTTGAGGGGCGACAGGATGGCTCTCTCTAAGTATTTGAAGGGCTGTCCCTTAGAGGAGGAGGGCAGGGAGCTCTTCCTGTGGGCAGCAGAGGAGAGGACTCGCAAGAATGGTTTTGAATTAAGGGCGGGAAGATACCCGCTGAATCTTAGAGCAAACTTTATTTATTTATTTATTGGATTTATAGCCCACCCTCCCCGAACGGGCTCAGGGCGGCTAACAGATGAGGCACGTATGCCAAGAGCAATACAATTAAAAACAGAATAAAACAATCATATTATGCAGTACAATAAAGTGCAGGTGCTCTGGTTCTCACAAAAGTCCTTAATAGCAAGATGGGGTTCTGGTAAAGATGGTCCCGGAACAACGAAGTAACAAAGCCACAAAGCAAGTTCCAGACAGAACTGCCATCCATTCTTCATCCCTGGGCCATCTCGCTCCCGATGGTACCCACTCCAATTGGGGGTGTGTGCGGTGATGGTACAGTGGTGGTGGCGGCTCCTACTCAAAAGCCTGGCGGAAGAGCTCCGTCTTACAGGCCCTGCGGAACTGCACAAGGCCCCGCAGGGCCCGTATCTCCTCCGGGAGCTCGTTCCACCAGATAGGAGCCGCCACCGATAAGGCCCTGGTTGCAGCAAGTTTGGTATCTTTGGGGCCTGGAGTTACCAGGACAGTCAGAGTTGTGCAACAGTGAAATCAGCTACCTGGGGAGGTGGTGAGCTCCCCCTCCCTGGCAGTCTATAAGCAGCGGCCGGGCAAACCCTTGTCAGGGATGCTCTAAGCTGATCCTGCGTTGAGAAGAGGGTTGGACTAGATGGCCTCCATGGCTCCTCCCAACTCTGTCATTCTACTCTTTGATCCTATGAGTCTGGCTTATACTGGGATGTAGATTTCTAAACCTGAGGACTTCATATTCCATACCCCCCAAGTTCCAGAACTCATCCCCGTCACTAGATCTGTGCCATGTTATCTTCAGTCCATTATCTCGGTTTGGATTAGGGTTGCCAAGTGGCACTTACCCTTCCGGCGGGGGACTCCAGGTCAGCTCCCGGTGCGTGCCATAGAGTTTTCCCTTGTATGGCCGTGGCCCCGCCCCCAGCGTGCCCGGTGTCATAACGTCACTTCCCTGTGACGTGCACGCTGAGGCGGGGTTCCCCCTGGGGCCCGATTCCCCGGCGTCGGGGAATGGGCCTCTGGGGTGGGGGGATTTTTGCCCCCCGGGGCGATTTGGCAGCCCTAGTTTGGATCTCAACCAGTGTGATACTGGGCAGCCTTTGCCAAGGTGTGATGTTTTAGCCTCGTTTCCTTGTCTGTAAAATGACAGTGATAGCGACCTGACAGAAAACTATCAAGGACACAAGAGACCTGTGGTCTGTACACGTTAAAGGTGCTTACAGACCATCATCGACAGGTGGCACAGCCTTACCAAGAACTATGTGGTGATCTGATATCTATAGCAGTTGAATATTGATTTACGTCGGTGGCATGAGCCGTTGCTGCTGTTTCTTGAAATTCTTGTGACTGCAGCACTATTGATATCATGAGCAGACAGATGCTCCTGAGGACATGTGTAATGATTTCATGTTTTGGTGTCTGCGGTTGTTTAAATGTTTAGTTTGACTGCAGTACTGTAAGAGCGATAGAGGGAGATAAGTGTGATGTGATTGGCTGATGACTGAGAGTGTGGGAGGAGGGGTGTCTATGAGAGAGATTCTGTGTGTGAAGTTTGAAGAGAGAAGATAGTCTGCGTGACTATGGGAGTGTTTTGAGTCCATTCTGTGTGAATAAGACAAACAGGTTAGTCTGTGTGAATATGAGTTTTGAGTCTATTCTGTGTGAATAAGACAAAGAGCCTGTGTGGCTATATATATATATAGCCACACAGGCTCTTTGTCTTATTCACACAGAATAGACTCAAAATTCATATTCACACAGACTAAACTATATATATATATATATATGAGAGAGAGAGATTAAACCAAGTGTTTACGCCTGTCAGAGTGGAATTTTGGGAGTTTGAGAGACTGTTTGTGACACCAAGCTTTGCCAGTTATATTTACAAGTTCCTTTCATCAGCAACAGTTCAAGATAACCAGAAACCTATTTTGTTATTTATTAAATAAATCCTTTTTTGTTTAAACTTATCACAGAAATCAGAAAAGTCCTTCCTCGGGGCCACATAACCAGAAACCTATTTTGTTATTTATTAAATAAATCATTTTTTGTTTAAACTTATCACAGAAATCAGAAAAGTCCTTCCTCGGGGCCACATAGTCCTCTGAAGTGCCCAGTGGTCATTCTACCAAAAGAGAGAGATTTGGAATTTAAATTCCTGGTGGCAGCAGAAATCTACCAAGTTTAGGTACAGAGAGAGGGTTTTAAAGGTAAAACCATCTCTCCAATAAGCAAGGACGCCACAACACGTCATTATTAGGCCATTGTTGTTTTGATTATTTGTTGTTCAACGTTATGACACTTCTACTGTGTGAATAATTTTCTAAATGTATCAAGTACATTTAGTACTTTGCCTTCAGAGCTTTATAAAGTAGGTCATGATTGTTCCCATGCTGCTGATGAGGAGCTGAAATGGATTATAGTTTGTCTCCAGTGAGAGAGAGCCAGATGGGTGTAGTGGTTAGGAACACAGACTCTAATCTGGGAGAACCGGGTTTGATTCCCTACTTCTCCCCATGCAGCTGCTGGGTGACCTTGGGTCAGTTTGGTGTCGTGATTAAGTGCGCGGACTCCAATCTGGGAGAACCAGGTTTGATTCCCCACTCCTCCACTTGCAGCTGCTGGGTGACCTTGGGCAAGCCATAGTTCTGTCAGAGCTGTTCTCTCAAGGGCAGTTCTCGAAAGAGCTCTCTCAGCCCCACCTACCTCACAGGGTGTCTGTTGTGGGGAGGGGAAGGGAAAGGAGATTGTAAGCTGCTCTGAGACTCCAAGTGAAGAGTGGGCTATAAATCCAATCTCCTCCTCCTCCTCCTCTTCCTGGTGCTTCTGTGAGTAGGTTTTCTTGTCCCCGATTCGCCCAGATCTCCGGCCTCCAAGTGCCGCACACTTGATCAAAGTGGCCATGTGATTATGTGATAGGATTTCCCCAGATCACAACCATTCTACACATGACCTGCCAAACACCAAGTTTGTTGTCAAGTGTAAGCAGGCTGTGAAGATATGCATTTTGAGGTGGAGAACAGAGTAGAACCTTCAGCAGGGGTTTTGACAGTTTTTGTCTCTGGACAGAGAACAGGCAGGGAGGGGGAAGCCAGTTCAATGGCTTTCCGACCTCATCTCAGGTACCACTTAAGAAATGCTAATAGATCCAGCTAGAGACAATAGGATGGTCCCGTCCCCCCCCCCTTCCAAGCAGGGAACCGAGTTTTAGAGGTACTAAGTACTAGAAGGACTTCAAGAAAAAGCTTCTTTGACCCAGCCTGACCTGGTCAGTGGATGTGGAGAAGAGAGATGGTAAAAGTCCTGGGAGCGAGGAGGAACCTCCTTTGGTTGCTGATTCCATCGAATCAGACAGAGCTCTTGAGGTCTGGAGGAGGCAGCCATTGCCATGGGCTGGCCTGCACATCTGAAAGAGGCTCGAAGGGAATGGGAACCCCTGTAAAACATCTGTAACCTTCTAAGCTAAGGTTAAAGGTTAAGGTTCCCTTGCTCGAAAGCCACTCGAATCCGACTCTAGGGTTGCGGTGCTCATCTCCGTTTCAAAGCCGAAGAGCCAGTGCTGTCCGAAGACGTTTCCGTGGTCATGTGGCTGGCATGACTAGACGCTGAGGTGCATGGAACGCTGTTACCTTCCCACTGAAGTGGTACCTAGTTATCTACTTGCAATTTCTTGCTTTCGAACTGCTAGGTTGGCAGGAGCTGGAACTAGAGACGGGAGCTCACTCCATCATGCGGCACACTCGGGTCTCGAACTGCTGAACTACCAACCTTCCACAGCCTGCAGTTCAGCG